CGTCATCGAGTAGAGCGCCACGAGACGCGCTACTCAACACTTGGACGTCTTTCCATGAAAAGTGGTTTAACAACTCTGACATCATTCCGCTCACCCCGGAAAAGATCCTGGGAGTGTCCTCTCTTTTCAAGCTGGGCCGCTACAAGTCGTTCAAGAACTACATGTCGCGGATAAAGGACCATCACATCAGTGCTGGCCACTCATGGTCAGACAAGCTGGATTTGGTTTCGCGGAAATGCACGCGCTCGGTGTTGAGAGGCCTTGCGCCATCCCACAGATCGGAGCAGTTTGACTTAATGAAAGTGATGAACGCTCTCAAGGATGTGGCCCCTCTAACAAGCTCTGGACCAATCAACCCTCGGGCCATGATCCTGGTGTCAACTCTCTTCATGCTGCGGGAGTTGGAGGCGTCTGCGGTGGATCGCCGTGATGTCACTTTCACTGAGGACTCAGTAACCCTGAGGTTGCCAGTCTCAAAGGTGGACTGGCAGGCCAAGGGTTGCTCAAGGACGTGGAGCTGTCTTTGCGACCGGGGGTTGAGCTGTCCGGTTCATGTTCTTCTTGATCACTGCGCTCTGCTGGAGCGAACATTTGGCGACAGAAATTGCCCCTTGTTCCCCACAACTGACCTTGAGTACTGCACCAAGGCAGGCGTTGTCAACACCATCCGTGAGGCGGTTCTCATGGCAAAGGGAACTGCTAAGGACGGGAGAGGAAACTGGTGCATATCCGGGCACACGTTCAGAATCACGGGCGCAAGGACCTTGTGTGCCTGGGGTCTGGATCCCATAACCATTCAGTTGATTGGTCGCTGGGGTAGCACTGCGGTTCTTTCATACCTCGCTGATGCGCCTCTGCAAGGATTTTGCAATCGCTTGAGCCGAGCTTGTGAATTTTCCATCATTCAAGATGTTCAGCCGAAAGCTGCTTCAGATATGGACCTAAAAGCCCATGTGAAGTCGCTAGTCAATGACTACATGGACAGAATTGACAGGACAGCCTCCCTTCGGCGCGAGTTGCGTCAGTTGACCGAGGAGGTTGGCGATATCGCGCACCAGGTTGATGGCATGGGAATAATGCTGAATTCAAATTCGACTGGCAAGGAAGTATGGACTGTGCGCAATGACGCCTCAAAAGTGGCACATCAGTCAATTGTTGACCTTGCTGAACCCACTTCTCACTGGAAGACGCTTTGTGGTTGGAGCTTCGCAGGGAAGTTGCATGCCGAAACTATCAGGTACACCATCGATGGTCTCGATGGGTACAGGAAATGTCCTAAGTGCCACCCTCGTTCTCCAGCATCTGCTTCCTCCACCTCAGCTTCATCCTCGTCCGAAGATTAAGCGCAGATTCTTGGGCCTTATGGGTATGGTTGTTACCCATAGGCCAATCTTCGGTGCCACCCAGGGAAAGTCCTGGGTGTGAAAGAATTTGACACCAATCATGAAAAGAAGGTGGGCTGGGTGGGAAGAGCTGCGCGCGAACGAATGTTGGAGAGAACATTCATGTGGCCTGTAACATGAGTGAGTTCGCCATGAGGGTGGAGGGCGGGTTATGCGGGTGTCTCCCGCGCCATTTTGGGTCAAGGGGGCAAGCCACCCGCTGCTGTGTAACCCACCCACCCACACCAAGAGATTCTTGGGCCTTATGGGTATGGTTGTTACCCATAGGCCAATCTTCGGTGCCACCCAGGGAAAGTCCTGGGTGTGAAAGAATTTGACACCAATCATGAAAAGAAGGTGGGCTGGGTGGGAAGAGCTGCGCGCGAACGAATGTTCCACCCTTTCAAAGGACGAATGGTACTTTTCCACGCAGTTCGGCTTTCTTGTTTGTACTCTATACAGCCTATCCGCTGGATAACAATCTGCTAAGGACCCGGTCAGTGCTACTCGCATTCTGAGGCGGCTATTGCTTTTTCGAAGCAGGTTATGGGTGACTGAAATTATCAGCATATGTTTTGCATGTTTTGACCTACAGTATCGCCCGCAGCCCTAAGCGGCAAAAACAGAGTTTCTTAGCGGGGACCTCCTCGGGCAACGTACCCCTTTGAACAAATAAGAAACTGTGGCTCTGACTTTGTTGAGTGTCCGGCAAACGCTCGAGATCCCTCTTGTCTTTGTGGATTTGAAGGGCGTTTGAATCAGTCGACAAAGATGGTGTGGCTAAGACTCCTACGACAGAGGGTGCAAAGTTTTTGCCAGCAACATGCTTGTTGGTTTGACGGTCACTGACACTGACATTCTTAGCCTTCCATTTGCTTAAGGATGTGTTTTGTTTCCCCTGTTGGTTTTAAAGGGAATCTGTCACCTTTGGAAATACGTTTTTCCAGTGAACTTAAACAAATGGAATTACAGTAACCAATGGATTCTTCTACAGTGGCCACGTGCTGTATTTCCTTGGAATCAAAGCACCAGACCTGCCGGGGCTGAGAGGAAAGAACCACAAATATGCAATGCGTGCACATAATTTATATATATATACATATATATATATACACATA